TGATTTGATCAGATCGAGTCTGATGACTCCCCCTCTCTGTAGATCGGGGAAGTGTCAGACTCTGTCTAGACCCAGCCAACCCCCGATCCCTTACAAGTCAATCTGGAAAATATAAGCACCCCCAAATTATTATTATACAGCCGTGCAGTACCACATACAAGCAGCCTCTAAAAATGTATTTATTTTTACTTTACATTGGGTTGTTGGAAGGCGGCCTATTTTACCTGGCGCTGGGAGAACTCACTGACACAGGGGTCAATGATATCTTTGGTGGTTTTCTTATTTTTTTTTAACATTTCTCATTAATCAGAGGTCAGTGGATATTGTACTGTATAATTTTGTTTTTGTGAAGCCTATGTCCAGTGCAAATACAATGAATTGATTGGGGGTTACCAAATGTACTGTACATTATGATGACAAATGTAAACTTGATACACTAACAGAAATGTACATTCGATCAGGCAACTTAGATGTACTGTCTATAAAAAAATAAACATGTAAAAAGTTATGCTTATTGGTCAGTGTTTTTTTACATGGAGGGAGGGGTTAGAGCAAAACTTTCAGCATCACCTGGGGTGCATTCAGTATGATAGAACGGTGTGCAATGTTGAATTCAACGGAAACGGTACTGTACTAAACGACCAGTTGAGAAACGGTGTGATTACTGTGACCCAGAGGGTGAGTGAAATATGCTTTTTGATTTCAAATGGTCACACCATATTGATCAGGCCACACCTCACCACACCCACCAAATGGGGGAAAACGTACCTCAAAGGCTGTTGAAGAACGGTGCACACCGTTTTGGGAAACATGTCGATCAGTACAAACCATCACGCAACGTAGCAAACGTTGAATCAAACTGAACACACCCCTGGTTACCTAGTCAGCAGAGAGGGAGGAGAGAAAGACACCTATATAAACTCATCTCTCTTTCCCCTGTCTCCACATGCATCTCACAACCAAACTATTGGTAGGGAAGAGGACAGCTAACTGGGTAGGTGTGCCATCATTCCAAGCCACATTATACATTTTTGATGAATTGAAAACATCAAGTGCTTTTCTTTGAAGATATACAGTTGAAGTCCGAAGTTTACATACACTTAGGTTGGAGACATTAAAAGTCATTTTTCAACCTTGGCAAGTCGGTTAGGACATCGACTTTGTGCATGCCACAAGTAATTTTTCCAACAATTGTTTACAGACAGATTATTTCACTTATAATTCACTGTATCACAATGCCAGTGGGTCAGGTTACATACACTAAGTTGACTGTGCCTTTAAACAGATTGGAAAATTCCAGAAAATTATATGTCATGGCTTTAGAAGCTTCTGATAGGCTAATTGACATAATTTGAGTCAATTGGATGTGTATCTGTGGATGTATTTCAAGGCCTACCTTCAAACTCAGTACCTCTTTGCTTGACATCATGAGAAAATCAAAATAAATCAGCCAAGACCTCAGAAAATAAATTGTAGACCTCTACAAGTCTGGTTCATCCTTGGGAGCAATTTCCAAATGCCTGAAGGTACCACGTTCATCTGTACAAACGATAGTACGCAAGTATAAACACCATGGGACCACGCAGCCGTCATACCGCTCAGGAAGGAGACGCGTTCTGTCCCCTAGAGATGAATGTACCTTGGTGCGAAAAGTGCAAATCAATCCCAGAACAACAGCAAAGGACCTTGTGAAGATGCTGGAGGAAACAGGTACAAAATTATCTATTTCCACAGTAAAACGAGTCCTATATCGACATAATCTGAAAGGCTGCTCAGCTAAGAAGAAGCCACTGCTCCAAAACCGCCATAAAAAAGCCAGACTATGGTTTGCAACTGGACATGGGGACAAAGATCGTACTTTTTGGAGAAATGTCCTCTGGTCTGATGAAACAAAAATAGAACTGTTTGGCCATAATGACCATCGTTATGTTTGGAGGAAAAAGGGGAAGGCTTGCAAGCCGAAGAACACCATCCCAACTGTGAAGCACTGGGGTGGCAGCATCAATGTGTGGGGGTGCTTTGCTGCAGGAGGGACTGGTGCACTTCACAAAATAGATGGCATCATGAGGAAGGAAAATTATGTGGATATATTGAAGCAACATCTCAAGACATCAGTCAGGAAGTTAGAGCTTGGTCACAAATTGGTCTTCCAAATGGACCCCAAGCATACTTCCAAAGTTTGGGCAAAATGGTTTAAGGACAACAAAGTCAAGGTATTGGAGTGGCCATCACAAAGCCCTGAACTCAATCCTATAGAATATTTGTGGGCAGAACTGAAAAAGCGTGTGTGAGCAAGGAGGCCTACAAACCCGACTCAGTTACACTAGCTCTGTCAGGAGGAATGGGCCAAAATTCACCCAACTTATTGTGGGAAGCTGTGGAAAGCTACCCGAAACATTTGACCCATGTTAAACAATTTAAAGGCAATGCTACCAAATACTAATTGAGTGTATGTAAACTTCTGACCCACTGGGAATGAGATGAAAGAAATAAAAGCTGAAATAAATCATTCTCTCTACTATTATTCTGACATTTCACATTCTTAAAATAAAGTGGTGATCCTAACTGACCTAAAACAGGGAATATTTACTAGGATAAAAGGATAAAATGTCAGGAATTGTGAAAAACTGACTTTAAATGTATTTGGCTAAGGTGCATGTAAACTTCCGACTTCAACTGTACTCACATATGATTAATATCCTTTTGTAACTGTATCTTACAGTATCTCTTTTAAATTAAGATTAATATTTGATCAAAGTTTGTGAGTTTTTTTATATATATAAATATATATATGTCTATTATTTATATCATAGACAATGTGGGTATCAATAGATTTAGAGATGAAGACATGTTGAAATTAAATCTCCTTAACATATTTTACCTCGACTTAGATTATACATTTGTTTTCTACTTTAAAAGTGTGTGTTTAGTTAATCAAAGTGTATGCCATGTAGCGTTTCCATAGAGTAACTGCAATACTACTTTGGTAGTCAAATCACCTCATCATCACTTCCTTGTCCTTTTGTTGTCCCTTGAAAGGTACAGCACTGCCTGTGTACTCTCAGAAGCAAATTGTGCACATTATTTCAGACTCATTGAAATTAACCTAGACACAAACACAGTTCTTTCATAGATATTATCCTCTAAATGAAATCTCTCAAACATGTCTGGATTGGCTAATTATTGTGCTTTAACAATTGTTAACAAAAACAATGTTTCCCTTGAGTTACACTGTAATGTTTGGGAGCACAGATTTTTTCTGATTTTAACTTGTAAGATGGTCCTTAAAGTTAGACTCCTTAATTGATACATACATTTTTGGACTTATAAATTAATTACATATATTGCCTTCACAAAGTATTCACACCCCTTGACTTTTTCCACATTTGGTTGTGTTACAAAGTGGGATTAAAATGGATTTCATTGAAAATAAATGTAAATTAACTACACAAAATACTCTGTACTGTCAAAGTGGAAGAAAAATTATAAGACTTGAAAATGTTTTATGAAAAAATAAAAAACCAACATATCTTGATTAGATAGAGAAGTATTAAACACCCTAAGTCAATACATGTTAAAATCACCTTTGGCAGCGAATACAGCTGTAAGTCTTTCTGTATTAGTCTCTAAGAGCCTTCCACACCTGGATTGTGCAACATTGGCCCATTATTATTGAAATTGATTGTTGATCATTGCTAGACAACCATTTTCAGGTCTTGCAGTACATTTTCAAACAGGTTTAAGTGAAAACTGTAACTCTGAAACGCAGGAACATTCACTGTCTTCTTGGTAAGCAACTCCAGTGTAGATTTGGCCTTGTGTTTTAGGTTATTGTCCTGCTGAAAAGTGAATTCATCTCCCAGTGTCTGGTGGAAAGCAGACTGAACCAGGTTTTCCTCTAGGATTTTGCCTGTGCTTAGCTCCATTCTGTTTCTTTTTTTGTCCTGAAAAACTTCCCAGTCCTTAACGATTACAAGCATAGCCATAACATGATGCAGCCACCACTATGCTTGGAAATATGGAGGGTGCTACTCAGTAACGTGTTGTATTGGATTTGCCCCAAACATAACACTTTTTATTCAGGACAAAAAGTTTGCAGTATTACTTTAGTGCCTTGTTGCAAACAGGATGCATGTTTTGGAATATTTTTATTCCAGGCTTCCTTCTTTTCACTCTGTCAGTTAGGTTTTTATTGTGGTGTAACTACAATGTTGTTGGTCCATCCTCAGTCTTTTCCTATCACAGCCATTAAACTCCGTAAGTGTTTTAAAGTCACCATTGGTCAATCCCTGAGCGGTTTCCTTCCTTCAATGTCTGCTTTAAAAATGTGTACCCATCTACCAAAAGGTGCCTTTCTGTGTGAGGCATTGGAAAACCTCCCAGGTCTTTGTGGTTGAATCTGTGTTTGAAATTCACTGCTCGACTGAGGGACCTTACAGATAACCCACTACTAATGGACAGTCCACCACCTCCCCACCTACCACCACTAACGGACAGTCCACCACCTCACCATCTACCACTACTAATGGACAGTCCACCACCTCACCACCTACCACTACTAACGGACAGTCCACCACCTCACCACCTACCACTACTTATGGACAGTCCACCACCTCACCACCTACCACTACTAACGGACAGTCCACCACCTCACCACCTACCACTACTAATGGACAGTCCATCACCTCACCACCTACCACTACTAATGGACAGTCCACGACACCACCACCTACAACTCCTAATGGACAGTCCACCACCTCACCACCTACCACTACTAAAGACAGTCCACCACCTCACCACCTACCACTACTAATGGACAGTCCACCACCTCACCACCTACCACTACTTATGGACAGTCCACCACCTCACCACCTACTACTACTAATGGACAGTCCACGACACCACCACCTACCACTACTAATGGACAGTCCACAACACCACCACCTACCACTACTAATTGACAGTCCACCAACTCACCACCTACCACTACTAACGGACAGTCCATCACCACACCACCTACCACTACTAACGGACTGTCCACCACCTCACCACCTAAAACTTCTAATGGACAGAACACAACCTCACCACCTACCACTACTAATGGACAGTCCACCACCTCACCACCTACCACTACTAATGGACAGTCCACCACCTCACCTCCTACCACTACTAATGGAGAGTCCACCACCTCACCACCTACCACTACTAATGGACAGTCCACCAACTCACCACCTACCACTACTAACGGACAGTCCACCACCACACCACCTACCACTACTAACGGACAGTCCACCACCTCACAACCTACCACTTCTAATGGACAGTCCACCACCTCACCTCCTACCACTACTAATGGACAGTTCCCCACCTCACCACCTACCACTACTAATGGACAGTCCACTACCACACCACCTACCACTACTAATGGACAGTCCACGACCTCACCACCTACCACTACTAATGGACAGTCCACCAACTCAAAACCTACCACTACTAACGGACAGTCCACCACCACACCACCTACCACTACTAATGGACAGTCCACCACCTCACCACCTACCACTACTAATAGACAGTCCACCACCTCACCACCTACCACTACTGACGGACAGTCCACCACCTCACCACCTACCACTACTAATGGACAGTCCACCACCTCACCTCCTACCACTACTAATGGACAGTCCCCCACCTCACCACCTACCACTACTAATGGACAGTCCACTACCACACCACCTACCACTACTAATGGACAGTCCACGACCTCACCACCTACCACTACTAATGGACAGTCCACCACCACACCACCTACCACTACTAATGGACAATCCACCACCACACCAACTACCACTACTAATGGACAGTCCCCCAACTCACCACCTACCACTAGTAATGGACAGTGCACCACCTCATCACCTACCACTACTAATGGACAATCCACAACCTCACCACCTACCACTAGTAATGGACAGTGCACCACCTCAACACCTACCACTACTAATGGACAGTCCACCACCTCACCACCTACCACTACTAACAGAGAGTCCACCACCACACCACCTACACTACTAATGGACAGTCCACCACCACACCACCTACCACTACTAATGGACAGTCCACCACCACACCACATACAACTACTAATGGACAGTCCCCCAACTCACCACCTACCACTACTAATGGACAGTCCACCACCTCACCACTTTCCACTACTAATGGACAGTCCACCCCCTCACCTCCTACCACAACTAATGGACAGTCCACCACCTCACCTCCTACCACTACTAATGGACAGTCCCCCACCTCACCACCTACCACTACTAATGGACAGTCCACTACCACACCACCTACCACTACAAATGGACAGTCCACCACCACACCACCTACCACTACTAATGGACAATCCACCACCACACCACCTACCACTACTAATGGACAGTCCCCCAACTCACCACCTACCACTAGTAATGGACAGTGCACCACCTCATCACCTACCACTACTAATGGACAGTCCACCACCACACCACATACAACTACTAATGGACAGTCCCCCAACTCACCACCTACCACTACTAATGGACAGTCCACCACCTCACCACTTTCCACTACTAATGGACAGTCCACCCCCTCACCTCCTACCACAACTAATGGACAGTCCACCACCTCACCTCCTACCACTACTAATGGACAGTCCCCCACCTCACCACCTACCACTACTAATGGACAGTCCACTACCACACCACCTACCACTACAAATGGACAGTCCACCACCACACCACCTACCACTACTAATGGACAATCCACCACCACACCACCTACCACTACTAATGGACAGTCCCCCAACTCACCACCTACCACTAGTAATGGACAGTGCACCACCTCATCACCTACCACTACTAATGGACAGTCCACCACCTCACCACCTACCACTACTAACAGAGAGTCCACCACCACACCACCTACCACTACTAATGGACAGTCCACCACCACACCACCTACCACTACTAATGGACAGTCCACCACCACACCACATACAACTACTAATGGACAGTCCCCCAACTCACCATCTACCACTACTAATGGACAGTCCACCACCTCACCACTTTCCACTACTAATGGCCAGTCCACCCCCTCACCTCCTACCACAACTAATGGACAATCCACCACCTCACCACCTACCACTACTAATGGACAGTCCACCAACTCAAAACCTACCACTACTAACGGACAGTCCACCACCACACCACCTACCACTACTAATGGACAGTCCACCACCTCACCACCTACCACTACTAATAGACAGTCCACCACCTCACCACCTACCACTACTGACGGACAGTCCACCACCTCACCACCTACCACTACTAATGGACAGTCCACCACCTCACCACCTACCACTACTAATGGACAGTCCACCACCTCACCACCTACCACTACTAATGGGGAGTGGTAGGCAGGAAGTGTATGTGACCGCTAGCTATGTCCCTTCCGTCTTCAAGAGAGCGAGAGTTGCACCCTTTCTCAAAAAACCAACACTCGATCCCTCTGATGTCAACAACTACAGACCAGTATCCCTTCTTTCTTTTCTCTCCAAAACTATTGAGCGTGCAGTCTCTAGCCAACTCTCTTGCTATCTCTCTCAGAATGACCTTCTTGATCCAAACCAGTCAGGTTTCAAGACTTGTCATTCAACTGAGACTGCTCTTCTCTGTGTCACGGAGGCTCTCCGCACTGCTAAAGCTAACTCTCTCTCCTCTGCTCTTATCCTTCTAGACCTGTCTGCTGCCTTTGATACTGTGAACCATCAGATCCTCCTCTCCACCCTCTCCGAGCTGGGCATCTCCGGCGCGGCTCACTCTTGGATTGCGTCCTACCTGACCGGTCGCTCCTACCAAGTGGCGTGGCGAGAAGCTGTCTCCGCACCACGTGCTCTCACCACTGGTGTCCCCCAGGGCTCAGTTCTAGGCCCTCTCCTATTCTCGCTATACACCAAGTCACTTGGCTCTGTCATATCCTCACATGGCCTCTCCTATCATTGCTACGCTGACGATACACAACTAATCTTCTCCTTTCCCCCTTCTGATAACCAGGTGGCGAATCGCATCTCTGCATGTCTGGCAGACATATCAGTATGGATGATGGATCACCACCTCAAGCTGAACCTTGGCAAGACGGAGCTGCTCTTCCTCCCGGGGAAGGACTGCCCGTTCCATGATCTCGCCATCACGGTTGACAACTCCGTTGTGTCCTCCTCCCAGAGTGCGAAGAGCCTTGGCGTGACCCTGGACAACACCCTGTCGTTCTCTGCTAACATCAAGGCGGTGACCCGATCCTGTAGGTTCATGCTCTACAACATTCGGAGAGTACGACCCTGCCTTACACAGGAAGCGGCACAGGTCCTAATCCAGGCACTTGTCATCTCCCGTCTGGATTACTGCAACTCGCTGTTGGCTGGGCTCCCTGCCTGTGCCATTAAACCCCTACAACTCATCCAGAATGCCGCAGCCCGCCTGGTGTTCAACCTTCCAAGTTCTCTCACGTCACCCCCGCTCCTCCGCACACTCCAATGGCTTACAGTTGAAGCTTCGCATCTGTTACAAGACCATGGTGCTTGCCTATGGAGCTGTGAGGGGAACGGCACCTCCGTACCTTCAGGCTCTGATCAGTCCCTACACCCAAACGTGTGCATTGCGTTCATCCACCTCTGGCCTGCTGGCTCCCCTTCCTCTGCGGAAGCATAGTTCCCGCTCAGCCCAGTCAAAACTGTTCGCTGCTCTGGCACCCCAATGGTGGAACAAGCTCCCTCACGACGTCAGGACAGCGGAGTCACTCACCACCTTCAGGAGACATTTGAAACCCCACCTCTTTAAGGAATACCTGGGATAGGATGAAGTAATCCTTCTACCCCCACCTTACCCCCCCCCCCACCCCCCACCCCCCCCCCCCCCCCCCCCTAAAAAAACAAACAAAAAAAAAAAAACAAAAAAACAAAAAAACCACTGACAAACATAATGAAAGTGAAGAATCACAACCAAAACCTAAACAAATAAATGAAAAAACAAACAACCTACCACCTACCACACTAATGACAGTCACCACCTACACCACACAAGAACAGTCCACACACAAACACTACTAAGAACGTCCACCACCTCAACCCCCCTACCACATGACTAATGGACAGTCACCACCTCACCACCTACCACTACTAATGGACATCCACACCACACTACCACACACTACTAATGGACAGTCCACACCACACACCTCCACTACTAATGGACAGTCCACCACCTCACCACTACCACCACTTTCTAAATGGACAGTCCACCACCTCACCACCTACCACTACTAATGGACGTCCACCCCTCACCCTACCACTCTAAGGACAGTCCACCCTACACTACCAACTAGGACAGTCCCCACCTCACCACCTACCACTACTAATGGACAGTCCACCACCTTCACCACCTACAACACTAATGGACGTCCACCAACTACCACCTACCACACTAATGGACAGTCACCACCCACCACCTACCACTACTAATGGACAGTCCACCACCTCACCACCTACCACTACTAATGGACAGTCCACCACCTCACACACCACAACTAATGGACAGTCCACCACCACACCCTACCACTACTAATGGACAGTCCACCACTCACCACCTACCCTACAATGGACAGTCCACCCTCACACCTACCATACTAATGGGACAGTCACACCTCACACTACCAACTAATGGACAGTCCACTACCACACTACCTACCATACTAATGACAGTCCACCAACTCACCACCTACCCACACTAATGGACAGTCCACCACCCACACCTACCACTACTAATGGACAGTCTACCACCACACACCTACCCACCACTATTGGACAGTCCATACCACACTACCTACCACTACTAATGGAAGTCCACCACCTCACACCTATCACTACTAATGGACAGTCCACACCACACCACCTACCACTACTAATGGACAGTCCACCACACACCACCTACCCAATTGGACAGTCCACACCACCTACCTACCACTACTAATGGACAGGTCCACCACCTCACCAACTACCACTACTAATGGACGTCCACACCTCACCACCTACCACCACTAAGGACAGTCCACCACACCACCTACCACTACTAATGGACAGTCACCACCTCACACCTACCACTACTAATGGACAGTCCACCCTCACCACCTACCACTACTAATAGACGTCCACCACCTCACACCTACCACTTCTAATGGACAGTCACCACCTACACCTACCACTACTAATGGACAGTCCACCAACCACACCACCTACCACTACTAATGGACAGTCCACAACCTCACCACCTACCACTACTAATAGACTGTCCACCACCTCACCACCTACCACTCTAATGGACAGTCCACCACCTCACCTACCACTATAATGGAGTCCACCACCTCACACACTACCACTACAAGGACAGTCCAGCAACCTCACACCTACCACTACTAATGGACAGTCCACCATCTTCACCAACCACAACAACTAATGGACAGTCCACCCACCATACCACCTACCACAACTAATGGACAGTCCACCACCACACCACCTACCACTACTAATGAACAGTCCACCACCTCACCACCTACCACTACTAATGGACAGTCCACCACCTCACCACCTACCACAACTAATGGACAGTCCACCACCACACCACCTACCACTACTAATGAACAGTCCACCACCTCACCACCTACCTCTACTAATGGACAGTCCACCACCTCACTACCTACCACTACTAATGGACAGTCTACCACCTCACTACCTACCACCACTATTGGACAGTCCACTACCACACTACCTACCACTACTAATGGACAGTCCACCACCTCACCACCTACCACTACTAATGGACAGTCCAACACCACACCACCTACCACTACTAATGGACAGTCTAACACCACACCACCTACCACCACAATTGGACAGTCCACTACCACACTACCTACCACTACTAATGGACAGTCCACCACCACACCACCTACCACTACTAATAGACAGTCCACCACCTCACCACCTACCACTACTAATGGACAGTCCACCACCTCACCACCTAACACTACTAATGGACAGTCTACCACCTCACTACCTACCACCACTATTGGACAGTCCACCACCACACTACCTACCACTACTAATGGACAGTCCACTACCACACTACCGACCACTACTAATGGACAGTCCACCACCTCACCACCAACCTCAACTTCCAGCGGACAACTGACCTCATCAGGTCCCCACTCCCCAGACAGGAAGCCCACATCTTCCCCCAGTAGTTCAACTTCTCCCACTCCATACCTGGTTGAGTGTCAGACATGGAGCTACCAATCTCTACCAATCTGCACAAATGTGTTACAAGTGACAATTGTTGGGCTTTTCATGGCAGATAAGACCGTCAGTGTATGTGTATTTGTGGTATTGTGTTTATGAACTTGCATTTACATGTGTGCAATTTCATGTTTGTGTTTTGTCCATGCAGATTACCTGCACTACTTCAACGAGTCCAAGAGCTGGATCAATGCCCTGGAGTTCTGTAAAAGTCGTGGCTCAACGTCCAACCTGTTGCACATCACCAACCAGACCGTGCAGGCTGATGTGACCCAGCTCCTGGCCAACGTGGAGCTTCCATGTGGGGGAGTGTGGATTGGTCTGGAGCGGTCCACCTTTGAGTGGATCGCCCCCTGGCTGTGGACCATTAGTGATGTTGAGAAGGTGGTGAAGTACAGAGAGTGGCACAGCTGCTTCCCCCTCAACCCCATCAATTACCACTGTGGTAAGATGGTCCGGGTTGGTAATGGAGAACTGAAGTGGCTGGATGCTTCCTGTCATCAGGAATTACCCTTCATCTGTGAAGGTGCGTTGCTCAACTTTTGAGCTCCTATTTTAGGGCTTGTTAATAAGTGGGGTGGAACATTCAGAACATTGCAGATAGACAAATATTACATAGAACTGTTATGGTTTACTGTGGAATAGAGATTGACTGTCTTGACTATCATGTCAGCTCTATGCAATGTATACTTTATGCAATGCTCTGATTATACCTCCCTATTGAATAAGGCTCAACCCACATCCCAGACATCCACCCCTCTACAGTTGGCTACTATCTGCACTGCTCTTTATTCCCTTTAACTCCCTCCCTTTTACATAGTCTAGACTCACTCTACTAGTAAAAGTCTTTTGAATCAGCCAAAACATAATGGCATGGCCTGGTCATATAAGATAGATCCATGTCCTCTTATCCTGTGTATGATGTTTCAACAGATCTCCACTAGAGGGCTCTCCATGGCAGCCTGGACATTCTGCAGACAGACACCACCCTGATCTGCCAGAGAGACTATCACTCATGGTCTGGAAGGAATCTGCATTTTAATTCGTTATATTATTACACCACTATTACTATTATTAATATTATTACTACTTTAACTTAGTATTATCATCTCTATTACATGATATTACTTAATGATACTGTACTTACACATACTGACTCATAAGCATTGTAATTTGACCTATAATTTACTGTAATACTTTGATTATTTAAAAATAGAGTAAAGAAAGGTAAAGTAAACGTTATTAACTTAACATGTAGTATGTAACTCCTGTGTGATCTGTACTGTTTGAGAACGCTATTTAGTTAGAATGAAATTATTGTTATTTTGTATTTCCTTTCATCTTTGTTCTGAGTAAAACATCCATTTAGTGTTTGATCAGTGTGGAATTTCATTCTTCATAGAAAGTGCATTGAGTGATGAATCAAAAGCAATTAAAATGTTCATAATTTAACCCTAAGATTGAGAGGTATTAGTGATGTCTAGTCTAAAGCGACTTTATGAATATTTTCAGCAGGAAAACGAGTCCATCTCAACTGTCAGCAACAATGAACTGATATCTCAGAAAACAACTTTTGGCCTAAAACTGCAATTAGATTATCAGGGGGCGAGATGTCTGTGACATCTGTAATGTTGACACATAATGGGCTATATTTATGCAACACTGCTCTCCAAACCATAAACTCAAATCCATTTTTCCCAGGTGCAGCCCCTGACCTCTTCTTTAGCCAGCAGTCCTTGGATGAGTCCTTCACCAACACCTGAGCAGTAGACCCATGTGAGTATTTATGCTTATATACCAGTGGCGGTTGGTGCCGGTTTATGATGAGGGAGGACTATTTTTTTTTTCATGAGCATGGCCTTATTCATATTCCATTAACCCAGTTCAATGTAACATCGATAAGTTTAGGCTACTACATAATACTGAAATGTTCCCTATATCTATCATGAGGTTGCTACAACCTAGCCTATGAATGAAAGTTTACGATGTAGGTGCACACAGGTCGAGAGAAAAATGTGAGATGACAGACAGTGACTCATGGACAGACAGTGACACTTTCCAATACCGCCTTGCACACTCTTGCCTGCATATAGCTATCTAGGGTGTAATCATTAGTCCAACAGTTGCAAACAGAGTTCTATTGGACAAATTCAGGTATTTTTATCCCCATTTCATTTGCTTCCGTTTAAAGAAATTTTTTTCAACAAAATGGGCGGACGAATACCCCCGATCAGATAAAACAGTTCATTTTTCATAGAAGCCACTTGTATATTCTAGCCTTTATCACTCTCCTCCTCTCCCTTTTCCCTTCGTTTGTGGCCCTTTAAAGAAAAAAACATCAGCTGTAAGTGACAAGCAAAAAATTTTCCCAACCATTCATAACCGCTACCACAGCCTATGCATTGTCCCCCATATTGCTAAAAATAACGTCCCGTCAACTAGCTATAGAAATAATGCTTTTGTAAAACCCCTACAATCATGCAGTAACTTTAATGTATATCACTAACATTACACCCGGGGGGCCCCCGGGGAATAAATTAATAAAACCAAAAGCACCTTTCTTGGGAAAGAGTTTCCCCCTGTTTTTTGGAGAGTTTGCCGCTAACCCATGCATGCCTCTTTTTGAGCCGGTTTTGAGTAACTAACTAGCCTCTGCATTTTTCTAGCTAATAAATGAAACTGAAATAAAAAAAAAAAAAAGCGAAATCTCCTTCTTTCTTGCTCCTCCTTATTTTTTTGAAGAAATTAAATTTGTTTTAAAACTCTTCAACTATTGTCTTTTTTCCCCTCTTTAAACACCACCCCATTTTATGCATGCAGTGCATTTGCTGGCTTTCTTTCAGACTAGATTATTCTCTGATCCTTTGATTGTGTGTACAATTTCACTCATACGCAAACTCTGCATGTGAAGACTCTCCGAAAATTGCATAAAAATTGTGAGTCATGGGAAGGGGGGGAAAACCAACCGCCTCCTGGTTTTTTTATTAAGTCGTACCGGGAGGACGGGAAACTACTGTCCTCCGGTACACCCATTGTGCTACCCCCCAGATGCTGTTAGGGTACTGTAATCTTCATTGCAAAAAATTTTAAATTAATAATTATTTGGGGACTGAATATATTTATAAGTTTTATCTAAAAGGAAACTTTTTCAAAGTTTTACATTTAAAAAAATTTAAAATTTATGAGGGGATGGTCCTCCCCTTCCCCTTCTGAGGACCCACTTCATAAGCATATCCTTACATTTACATTTAACTTTTAGTCAAAATTTTAAAACCTCTTTTCCAGAGCGCTTACCCCTTGGAAACAAATAATTTTTTCTAGGGGTAAAAAGAAACCACAACCCTGGGTTCCCAAAAAGCCATGCCAACAAAATGAGGCTACACCCCCGGCCATTCCCTCCCAACCCTGGGGAAAATTTGCCGGGCCATGATTTTCCCGGCGCCCCGGCGCACGACCTTTAAAGGACTTATGGGACATTCATTAATAGGGTTAAACTGTGCCCTCAGAGCTTACCTTAACTTTTAGGGGCACAAATTTTAAAAATTTCAAACCTCGCTACCCATAGCGGTTAAGGGCTGTGGGTTAACCCTAGCCACCCCACAAAATCCATTTTATTCTTTTTTTTTATATTTTAAAAAAACTTTTTTTTGGGGGGGCATTTTACCCCAATGGGTCCCATTTAAAAAAGGGTCCGGCACGAATGTTTTTTTCTAATCGAGATGCCACTTCCTCCCCCCGCTTAAACCGGGAAATTTAAAATTTTTGTAGTTTTCAAATTCGGGTAATTTCCATATGTTTATTAAAAACAAGAGGGGGGCTACTAACTTCCCAAAAAATTTTAAAATTTTTTTTTTAAAAAAAAAAATTTAAGGGATTATTTTAATTTAATTTTTTTTTAAGGTTTACGTTTTTTCAATTTAAGGGGGGAAAAAGTTTAGCCCCCCCCCTTTTCTGTTTTTTTCCGAAAAAAAAGGGAAAAATAAAGGGGGACCTTTTTAAAAAAGGGTTTTTAAATTATTAGGCCCTATAAAAAATATGATATCAATCGTTTTTAAAAGGTATTGTCCTCTACCCACCTTTGCTTTAGTGTAATCAATCTAATATTGTTATATTCAAACCTACCCCTGACACCATAGACATGTGTTCCAGAGGCTGTGGCATTACCGCTAGACCAGCCAGGCCACAAGACTACCATCTTATTGGCGTTATTGGGGTTTATATCTGTAAGACAGGTGCAAGGGTGGCATTTTAGCCCCAATAGGGTCCCAATTTAACAAGCAGTGTCAGATGCCGGACACAGCAAATCTTCATGTTGTCTACACAGCTATCAGATGCCATCTCTCTCTCCCCAGTCTTACCAGGGATTCATGCAAATATATTTGCTCATGTGGTTTCTAATATCGGATAATATTTCCATGATGTTAAACATAGAACACAGAGGCTAGCTACTGCACACTTCCAAAGTAATCTATAGCCTTTAAATGTAAGTGGAAGAAAAGTTATATTTATTGTAAATAAGCTGGATCTCATTTGAGTGGCTGCTACCATTCATATGTCCCTCTAGAAAAGAGAAGCAAGCAGACCATTGTCAGGATGTCTCTGAAATCTAACTCAGGAGCTGACCTCAATGACCCAGCGGTTAAGGAACAGATGTTGGAGCAGGTACAGTAGTCCTACATCTCCTACATCAGAAATCAAGGTCATGCTCAATCATTTCTCACTTTTCATATGATCACCATTTTATATTCCTATAGATCATATTAATAAACTCAAATGTTCGATTAAAATAGGAGGGCTGCTGGCTTTATCTGATTTGATCATATCTCATAGATCAGAAAGGAGTTTGCGAAGAACGGGAACTTCATCCTAGGCCTACGCTGGAAAGAACACTTGTACAGTGTGTTGTTAGGTTTTTGCATTTTGTCTGGATGAAGTGGACCAGCCATGATGATACAGCAGGAGAGGTTTGGAAGGTCCTAGAAAACTAAAATAGTCCATAATAAATAATATATTAAATAAGATTATTAAATAATTTTTAGTTTACGTTATTCAAGTTATGAAAGTTAGCCTTTGCTTACGAAAGAAAAATAGGAATTATGTTTATATTAGGCTAGATTTAGACTTTACAATGTTTTACTAATGTAATATCAAATTATAATCATATTTTTTTGTTGGTGTTTGAATTGATTGTGATAATAAAGCTTGTTGTACGTAAGGGAAATTTGATTAGTGACGAAAATAGGATTTTGACAACTTTCCGTGAGAGAGGGTAACATTTTGCATAATGAGAAAAATTATGTTACACACTCACTTATGGATGTAACTGTCCACATTCTTAAATAAAATATGTTTGATTAGTGACAACAGTATTACCATTTTCACCCACCAGCAAGAATATTGAGATGGGGGCACAAATCAATGTAGAATGATGTACCCATGTCATGGTGCTATGGTTCAGAGTACTGTAAAGATGGAGACAGACAGACTGTTGTGGGTGTGACAGAATGACAGTATCCATGTTATGAAGCTAAGCAACATTTTATTATCATTTAAATATTCCCTGATATCATGGTTTGTTGACCGTGGCAGCTATTACAGTCATAAACACAGGCTCATGGATAGCAGGGGAGGGGTGTGGGGTTCTTGCCTGTATTCCTGTACTTGATGGCTGTTATACATTAAACACCTTGATAAATCAACCACCATGAATCATTTAGCAAAGGTTCAAAGTATTTGAACCTTTACATTTTATTTTCTATGTAGCTATTTAGCAAATGCATTTATCTAAACCACTGGTAGCAATGGGATCCTCAACACGGGGGCCCTTCAGGGGTGCGTGCTCAGTCCCCTCCTGTGCTCCCTGTTCACCCATGACTGCATGGCCAGGCACTACTCCAACACCATCATTAAGTTTGCCGACGACACAACAGTGGTAGGCCTGATCACCGACAACGATGAGACAGCCTATAGGGAGGAGGTCAGAGACCTGGCCGTGTGATGCCAGGATAACAACCTCTCCCTCAATGTGATCAAGACAAAGGAGATAGTTGTGGACTACAGGAAAAAGAGGACAGAGCACACCACCATTCTCATTGACGGGACTGTAGTGGAGCAGGTTGAGAGCTTCAAGTTCCTTGGTGTCCACATCACCAACAAACTATCATGGTCCAAACACAGCAAGACAGTGGCGGCAGGTAGCTTAGTGGTTAAGAGCGTAGTGCCAGTAACCGAAAGATCGCTGGTTCTAATCACAGAGCCGACTAGGTGAAAAATCTGTCGATGTGCCCTTGAGCAAGGCACTTAACCCTAATTGCTCCTGTAAGTCGCTCTGGATAAGAGCGTCTGCTAAATGACTAAAATGTAAAATGTAAAATGAAGAGGGCATGACAAAGCCTATTCCCCCTCAGGATATTGAAAAGATTTGGCATGGGTCATCAGATCCTCAAAAGGTTCTACAGCTGCACCATTGAGAGCATCCTGACTGGTTGCATCACTGCTTGGTATGGCAACTGCTCGGCCTCCGACCACAAGGCAGTACAGAGGGTAGTGCGCACGGCCTAGTACATCACTGGGGCCAAGCTTCCTGCCATCCAGGACCTCTATACCAGGCGGTGTCAGAGGAAGGCCCTCAAAATTGTCAAAGACTCCAGCCACCCTAGTCATAGACTGTTCTCTCTGCTACCGCATGGCAAGCGTTACCGGAGCGCCAAGTCTAGGTCCAAAAGGCTTATTAACAGCTTCTTTCCCCAAGCCATAAGACTCCTGAACAGCTAATCAAATGGCTAACCGGACTTTTTGCATTGTTCCCCCCACCCCCACCCCCTCTTTTACGCTGCTGGTACTCTCTGTTTATTATCTATGCATAGTCACTTTAACTCTACCTACATGTACATATTACCTCGACTAACCTGTGCCTCCGCACATTGACTCTGTATCGGTACCCCCTGTATATAGCCTCGCTACTCTTATTTTACTGCTGCTCTTTAGTTATTTGTATTGTTATTTTTTACTTAACACGTATTTTTCTTAAAACTGCATTGTTGGTTAAGGGCTTGTAAGTAAGCATTTCACTGTAAGGTGAATACCTGTTGTATTCGGCGCATGTGACAAATACAATTTGATTTGATTTGATATAACCAAGCTACCTGTATGGACTACAAAGTGTTCATACTAGAACTATGGGCTTTTACACATCCAGAATTACAGTACATTGCATTTTATTGGCACATTTAGGCATTAGACTGCCAGTCTTGGGGATATGCAAGAAACACATGCATGTTGGGAAACACATTTCCATTACATACTCGTACAAGTGTGTAACAAGACAAATATAAGCACCCCCAAATTATTATTATACAGCCATGCGGTACCACATACAAGCAGCCTCTAAAAATGTAGTCGTTTTTTATTTTGCATTGGGTTGTTGGAAGGCGGCCTGCTTTGCATGGCACTGGGAGAACTCACTGACACAGGTTAAAATAATATCTTTGGTGGTTTTCTTATTTTTTTAAACATATATCATTAATCAGAGCTCAGTGGATATTGTACTGTAAAATGTTGTTTTTTTTAAGCCTATGTCGAGTGCAAATACAATGAATTGATTGGGGGTTACCAAATGTACTGCACATTAAAATGACAACGGAAGAAAACATACCTCAAAGGCTGTTGAAGAACGGTGCACACCGTTTTGGGGAAACATGTCAATCAGTACAAACCGTCACACAACGTAGCAAACGTTGAATCAAACTGAACACACCCCTGGTTACCTAGTCAGCAGAGAGGGAGGAGAGAAAGACACCTCTATAAACTCATCTCTCTTTCCCCTGTCTCCACATGCATCTCACAACCAAACTATTGGTAGGGAAGAGGACAGCTAACTGGGTAGGTGTGCCATCATTCCAAACTGCATTATAAATTTTTGATAAATTGAAAACATCAAATGATTTTGCACTTTGAAGAGATACTCACATATGATTAACAACCGTTTGTAACTGTTTCGTACAGTATCTCTTTTAAATTATTTGAATGGTGCTCTTTGCTTAATATTCGGTGTATTTAAATTAAGTTGAGACTGACTAGAGGTACAATCTAAAATTAGATCAGTTTGAGTTTTTTTTAAATATATCAAATCAAATCAAATTGTATTGGTCACCTACACGTGTTTAGCAGATGTTATTCCGGGTGTAGCGAAATGCTTGTGCTTCTAGCTCCGACAGTGCAGTAATATCTAACAATTTCACAACATATTCCCAATACACACAAATCTAAGTAATGAATGGAATTAAGAATATATACATATATGGACAAGCAATGTCAGAGCGGCATGGACTAAGATACAGTAGAATAGTATAGAATACAGTATATACATATGAGATGAGTAATGCAAGATATGTAAACATTATTAAAGTGACTAATGTTCCATTTCTTAAAGTGGCCAGTGATTTCTAGTCTATGTCTATAGGCAGCAGCCTCTAATGTGCTAGTGATGGCTATTTAACAGTCTGATGGCCTTGAGATAGAAGTTGTTTTTCAGTCTCTCGGTCCCAGCTTTGATGCACCTGTACTGACCTCGCCTTCTGGATGATAGCAGGGTGAACAGGCAGTGGCTCGGGTGGTTGATGTCCTTGATTATCTTTTTGGCCTTCCTCTGACATCGGGTGCTGTAGGTGTCCTGGAGGGCGGGTAGTTTGCCCCCGGTAATGCGTTGGACAGACTGCACCACCCTCTGGAGAGCCCTGCGGTTGCGGGCAGTGCAGTTGCCGTACCAGGTGGTGATACAGCCCGACAGGATGCTCTCAATTGTGCATCTGTAAAAGTTTGTGAGGGTTTTAGGTGTGAAGCCACATTTCTTCAGCCTCCTGAGGATGAAGAGGCTCTGTTGCGCCTTCTTCACTACACTGTCTGTGTGGGTGGACCATTTCAGTTTGTCAGTGATGTGTACGCCAAGGAACTTGAAGCTTTCCACCTTCTCCACTGCGGTCCTGTCAATGTGGATAGGGGGGAGCACCCTCTGCTGTTTCCTGAAGTCCACGATCATCTCCTTTGTTTTGTTGACGTTGAGTGAGAGGTTATTTTCTTGACACCACACTCCCAGAGCCCTCATCTCCTCCCTGTAGGCTGTCTTGTCATTGTTGGTAATCAAGCCTACTACTGTTGTGTCGTCTGCAAACTTGATGATTGAATTGGAGGCGTGCTTGGCCACGCAGTCATGGGTGAACATGGAGTACAGGAGTGGGCTGAGCACGCACCCTTGTGGGGCATCAGTGTTGAGGATCAGCGAAGTAGAGGTGTTTCCTACCTTCACCACATGGGGTGGCCCATCAGGAAGTCCAGGACCCAGTTGCACAGGGCAGTGTTCAGACCCAGGGCCTCAAGCTTAATGATGAGCTTGGAGGGTACTATGGTGTTGAATGCTGAGCTATAGTCAATGAACAACATAGCTATTCCTCTTGTCCAGATGGGATAGGGCAGTGTGCAGTGTGATGGCGATTGCATCGTCTGTGGATCTATTGGGGCGGTAAGCAAATTGAAGTGGGTCTAGGGTGACAGGTAAGGTAGAGATGATCTGATCCTTGACTAGTCTCTCAAAGCACTTCATGATGACAGAAGTGAGTGCTACTGGGCGATAGTCATTTTGTTCAGTTACCTTTGCTTTCTAGGGTACAGGTACAGGTACAACATCTTGAAGCATGTGGGGACAGCAGACTGGGATAGACAGAGCTTGAATATGTCCATAAACACACCAGCCAGCTGGTCTGCGCATGCTCTGAGGACGCGGCTAGGGATGCCGTCTGTATCGGGCGGCACTGTGTTATCCTCAAAGTGAGTGAAGAAGGTGTTTAGCTTGTCTGGAAGCAAGATGTCGGTATCGGCGACGTGGCTGGTTTTCCTTTCGTAGTTAGTGATAGTCTGTAGACCCTGCCAAATACGTCTCGTGTCTGAGCTGTTGAATTGCGACTCCTCTTTGTCCCTATACTGACGTTTTGCCTGTTTGATTGCCTTGCGAAGTGAATAACTACACTGTTTGCATTCTGCCATATTCCCAGTCACCTTGCCATGGTTACATGCGGTGGTTCGCGCTTTCAGTTTTGCGCAAATGCTGCCATCTATCCCCAGTGGGTACAACATCTCCTATACACTCCCTGATAAACTTGTGGGAATCAATAGATTGAGATTAAAACATATTCAAATTAAATCTTCATCACATATTTAACCTAAACTTAGATTATACATTTAAGTGCTACTTTCAAAGTGCATTTTAGTTAATTAAAGTCTATTCCATGTAGCTGTTCCATAGAGTAACTGCAATGCTACTTTGGTAGTCAAATCACCTTATCATTCCTTTCTTGTCATTTTGTTTAACTGGAAAGGTACAGCACTGCCTGTGTACTCTCAGAAGGAGTGCTTTTTCACAAAACATAATGTTATAAAAAATGTACTTGAAACGTAGGGAGAACTGTTGGCTTGTGATTCAAAACATGAACTCTTTGTTCACAGTTGTCATGATACTGCCAATACTTCTACTCCTGCTACTGGGCAAGAGATCAGATGTGATTAATATATTCCTCTATTGGTGTTATCAAGTAACTCCTCCCCCGTTATGACTTTTGACAGTTTTCAAAATAGTAGTACCAAAACATACAACAGAATACCAAAACTTACAACAGAATACCAAAACTTACAACAGAATACCAAAACATACAACAGAATACCAAAACATACAACATAATACCAAAACATGCAACAGAATACCAACACATACAACAGAATACCACCCAAAAGCTACAATAGGAAGCTTCCAGTGTCTAGAAACAGAACTTTTATGAAACTGAGCAATCTCCTTGTCTGTGGACAAGTTTATGTCAGTGACACAAAGCCTGACCAGCCAAGTAACAACATTTTCCTGATTTAACCTTTGACCCCACAGCACTCAGGGCCTCACCATTGTTGGTGACTGAGGTGTCAGTACTGGAGGGAAACTCTGTGACCCTTGTTTGTGGGTCCTCTGTGAAGGATCACAGGTATGACACATGCTGGGCCAGAAATTGTGATAACGGTTTGTATAGATGTTATTGTTCTAACCACATAGTGAAGATGAAGGGGGGTATCATCACAATCAATTACCCTAAAATGCACAACCTCAGCGGGGAAGACCTCACCATTTCCAACCTTCAGGACAGCAGAAGTTACTGCTGTTGTGTAGATAGCAGCATTATCCCTTACAATGACCATGTAACATACTACAGACTAAAGGTAGTAAAAGGCAAGTGTTGATTATTCATTCTCATTACTTGGTGCATGTATCCTCATTATGAGCATTTTACATGAGTATTTACATTGGCTACTAGATACTGTACACTACACACTGTAACATGCTGCATTGTTGATTGCACATTTATTGGTATCCATTGTCCAGGTTGAATACCTGAATATACCACTGATACATTTTGTCTCTGTAGTCCAGTGTTGTTTATTCTGCGTTGTGTCCTTCTAGAGACTAGTTTAGTGCTGATCGTATCTTTTTGGTTGCCTAGTTGACTTGAGTTGTTCAACAACAAGAAAATCAAGTAGTGTCAGATGTAAAATGTCTCTGTTACACAGGTTGTGAGAGGAACCTAATGAAAGGAGTGGATTTGGGGGGAAATAAGGTGAATAAACATCCACCTCAGCAATTCATAACTGAAGATGCAAGTCAGTGCAGCCAGAAATGCACCGAAAATGACAATTGCCAGTACTTCACATTTGTTCGGAAAGAAGCAAACATTGACCAACCTAACAGGTACATGCTCAAAACGCTTTTTTATTTTATTTTTTAAATTGCGCTTCTGCAAATAAAGGCTTTAGAACCATAACAGTTATTTTGGTCATTGCGTTAATTTCTGATAAGTAACATCCTTTGTGATATTTGTCCCACAGCAACAAGTGTTTCCTGAAGGCCTCAACTGGTGATATGCCTTTCACAATACAGTACCTCCAACATGCAACCTCAGGCTACTCTCTGAGAAACTGCAGTGGTAAAGGTGAGTACATACAGTTAATGTATATTTGAGTCATGTATTTCTAATGATCAGAGAGGTAGACTTTATTAATAGGCCCTATTACAGTTTTTTTACGATTGTTTACACACTAAAATTAAAATTTCCACACAATTAGCAAAATTGTACTCCAATGAGCAAAACACCTACACAGATTTGCACAACATTACACACAATGTCCGCCTCACCCTTTTTGCAAAACATTACACACAGTGATTTGTAAAACTCCACACACATTTTCACACCTTAGACACAGATAAGGATCGTGAGGTTACTTCCTTGTAATTACAAAGCACCGGATTGCCAATTACCACACTAATGAACGAATTGGATAAACACATCTACCAGGTGTGGAAGCACACATGTGCTAATTTGAAAACGCAGCACTCAGGTGTGCCATAAAAGGCAGCAGGTGAGTTCACCTGTCTTCAACAAAAATGGAAGGAGTTAGAAGAAGAAGAAGAGTGAGAATGAGAGGGGGAGCTCAAAGAGGAGATGAAGGCGGTAGAGGAAGAGGAGAAGGAGGTAGAGGAAGAGGCATAGGTAGAGGAGAAGAAGGTAGAGGAAGAGAAGGAGGTAGAGGAAGACACCTAGGTAGAGGAAGAGGTAGAGAAGGACTTGAAGAGTTGATAGAACCTGAACAAAGAAGACGAGGACCAAATTTGACTCGAGAAATCCGTGCAACACTTATTGACCATGTTATCAACCATGGACTGACACTGATGGAAGCTGGACAAAGCTGGACAATCTCAGCAGAAATACTGTTGCGTCAGTAATTCGGACATTTCATCGAGAAAACACGTAAGCTAACCACACAGTATACATTGAAACTGAAGCTTGTATAATCAATATTGTTTACTGTGACATTTGACAGTAGGCTGCATATATATATATATATATATATATATATATATATATATATATATATATATATATATATATATATATATTTATTTATTTTTATCTTATTTTGTTTTTACATAGGATTGAGGGTCGAGGACACCAAGGTGGAAGGGGCCCTATGTTTAGTCGTGCACAAGAGGCCGCCATTGTGAACATGGTTTTGGCCAATAATTGTATCAGGCTACGAGAAATCCAAGCCAATATCATCAATGATGACAATATTTTCAATAACATCCAACGAGTCTCTCTGTCAACATTATGTCGAATCCTAAAGAAAAATCAAATATACATGAAGCAACTGTATCGGGTACCATTTGACAGAAATTCAGAGAGAGTGAAACATCTGCGCAATGAGAATGTGGAGGTATGCATTGTTCATCTGACTATGGTGTGGTATCATGCACTGCTCATAATGTTCTGTCACAAAAAAAATACTGTGCTATAGATATTGAATAGCATCCTATTTTCTTTAATGTGTTTCAGAGAGTCTTGCAAATGGATGCTGCTGAAATTCAACATGAATTTATATATGTGGATGAGGCTGGATTTAACCTTGCAAAAACAAGAAGAAGAGGGAGAAATGTAATTGGGCACAGGGCAATCACCAATGTGCCAGGGCAGCGAGGGGGTAACATCACCCTTTGCGCTGCTATCACACAAAATGGGGTCCTCCACCACCATGCAAATCTGGGACCCTATAATGCAAATCTGATACTTGCATTTCTTGACCGATTGCATGAGATTGTCACAGCATTACACCAAGTGGACCAGATGCGGTACATTGTCGTTTGGGACAATGTCTCATTTCATCGGGCTGCTCTAGTCCAGAACTGGTTCCATAATCACCCTGATTTTGAAGTTTTATACCTTCCCCCATACTCCCCCTTCCTGAATCCTATAGAATAATTTTTTTCAGCGTGGCGGTGGAAGGTATATGACCTGCGGCCTTATGACCGTTTGCCCCTCATTCAGGCCATGGAACAGGCATGTGATCTTATTGAAGCAGCTTCAGTGCAGGGGTGGATTCGTCATACAAGGCGATTCTTCCAACGGTGCCTTGCCAATGAAGACATAGCCTGTGATGTGGATGAAATGTTATGGCCTGATCCAGCCAGACGGAGAGACGGATAGTTACAGTATTCTTGTTGCTTTTACAGTAGTTTTCTTTCATTTCTGTTTACTTTTACTTTACTTTTCTTCAGAGTCAAAGTGTATGTACTGTAATTCATGCAGTCATTTTTATTTGTCTACGGATTTTATTTGTTTACAGTAATTGATATCATTGTTGGTTGATTACTGTAACTGATTATGGTAAGAAATACTGTAAGTATTGAAATAAATACTTGAAATATTCAGTCTGCAGCATCAAGTGTTGTGCAGTGCTTGGTAAGGTTATAGTAGGCCTACAGTATTTGTCTACATTCTCCTTATATCTCAAAACAAATCATGAATAATGTTGTGAGTTTCTCACTATTTTTTGTCACCTAAATTATCTCTCACATAGAGTAAGAATGTCTGGCCAAATTATTATTATTTTTTTTACAAATGTGTTTTTTATTTATCACAGCAGTGTGAAACTGGCTGCAATAGTGTATGATCATTGATGACTGTGTTGGTTAAATGAAAACAAATAGCATTTTCACAAATATGTGTATATGTTTTGACTGAAGTGTGTATGTTTTGACTGAAGTGTGTCATTTTGCAAACAATCTAGGAATTTTGCTAATTGATTGTGGTGTTTGGATAATTGTGATTATATATTGACAAAAATAACTCTGTTTTCAAAATCGCGTGTAAACAATTGAAAAAAACTGTAAACAGGATAGCATAGACATGGATATCAAACTGTCATGTTGTGTTTCTGTTTATTCAATTATCTCTGTTGAATGTTTAATATAAAGGATATCATCAAGCACTAGAGTGTGAATTGACTCTATATTCTAGTGCAGTCTATAAAGAATACAGTAGATAGTTGAGTCTATAGCCTATATTCATTTAAAAAAGTGAGATTTTGGAATGAGATTGCAAATTTATTAATTTCTCCATGCACCTGACACATGCTCTGCTATCAAACAGTATGTGTTGCCTACATTTGAATAGATAGTGGAAGTAATAGATGGTCATGTTTGCCACTCAACAAATCAAGCAGTCTGATCAACATTTTCTCTGTATTTCAAACAGTCACCTACTCAGCCAAAAAGTACAGCCTTGTCCCTGAGAAGAAAAACTGGACCGAGGCACAAGAGTACTGCAGACAGCGTTTCACAAACCTGTCCATCATACACACAGAAGAGGATTGGAAGGCAATTAAATCCACTTTGGGTAATTTCAGTGGTGATGTGTGGATTGGGCTCCATAGAGAGAAGCCTGATCCAAATGAAAAGTGGACGTGGTCTGACGGAGAGGACTTCATGTTCTTTAACTGGGGAAATGGCTCTGGTGACCACAGGGGTCATAACTGTGTCATCTCCACTTCATCTCACTGGCAGGGACGGCTTGTTCAATAGGGCGATATGGGCGACACACTGCCAAACGGGAAAAGGAAGGGATTTTTTTTCTAATCAATTATATCACGGCAACAGTAGTTATCAGTGTTGTAATCTGATTTGACTGCCACTAAATGTCAAATCAGGCTAAAGTCGTGCTTCAAATGGCCCCGCCCGTTTTTGGGGCGATTTCAGTCAGGTTGAAAATCGCCCAGAAGTCTCTCATAGCCTGTCATGTAAAATCTATTTTTTTCAAATTTCAAAGCTCTCAATACATTCTCTATGGGTGTCTGTGGGCTTGCACTTACGCGCTTTCGTCATACGTGACGTAACCATGAACGTAACTAAGACAATAGCGGCTAGCAGCGTCTCTGTTGCGACCTGCAGTGTGGCGTTATTTTATGTTTTTAATTTGTAGACTTAGTTTACAAACATTCTGCCAACCATGGATTTCCAGTGGTTGGTTTTGGACTGATCTTGTTGATCGTGTACATACCCGCTACGAACGGACTAAATAATGAAAACGCTGCTGGCAGCGGAATCCCAATACAGCTGGGAGACTTGGCTGGATGACAGAGTCCCGGACAGAGAAGTGGAGCCGGCCGGCTTCACCCTGGTCAGAGCGGACCGCGATCCTGGTAAGAGAGCGACTCTGTACCCCGACATTGAACTGCTTTCTGTTGAACTTGTGTCATCCGTGAGTTCCCCCAATTGTTTGTTACCGTTGTGTACTGTTGATAATCACAAGTTTACTGGAGAACTGAGACCAAGTAGAGACTTTGGACAGGGTGGATATGGTATAATAAAGGCAGTTTATTCAGAGGTAAAGATATCTGGAATCGCGTGCACGGACTCGTTCGTCAAACTCTTAGGGAGAAGAGAGCCCCGAAAACATTGTGTGCAGACATTTTATACAATAAATGATGTAGGTTGAATCTAGTAGTTCTGATCTTCTGATTGGTCCTGATGAGTTGGGCGAGGTCCCCTCCACTGTTGCATTGGCTCTGAGTCGGGTTCTCTGTCTTCAAATGTTCAGCCTAAAGAGAGGGGATTTTTGTGTGTGTGTGTGTGTGTGTTTAACAGTGATGATGTGTGTGTGTGTGTGTGTGTTATCAGTGATGATGTGTGTGTGTGTGTGTGTGTGTGTGTCCTCAGAGCAAGAACTCGTGAGTTGGAAGAACTGAGAGACCTATGGCGTGGGTGTTGTCCTTGGCCACCTGCTGACAAGGCTGACAAGATAGGACTCTTTTGTCCATTGTTATAGGATAGGAACAGCATTGATTGAAAACAAACGCCCAACACAAAATGGGTCATGCACAAGATTTTAGTCAGACCAAGCTATAACATTATATATTTACTACGACAGTACATTCAACCAAAAGCTAATATAACAAAGGCATCAGAGATTATTTATAATCTGTCACAGAAACTGGAATCCATCTCCCCAGATCAGTCAATAAATGCTTCTGGTATTGACTTATATGCTGCCCCTGTCTTCATGTTGTTGCTGGACATATCTTTTTTAAAATGTGTGTAGGTCACCTAAATCATCAGAAAAATTGCCCCTCCTGAGAATTTATTCAGGAGCCGCCACTGCTCACTGGCAACAAGAGAATTGTGGCTATCTAAAGCAGTATGTGTGTCAGCAACTAGGTAAGTCTCTCTCAGTATGTATATATATATATATATTTATATACTACTTTCAAAGTGAGACATAATCCACTTCCTGGGTTGTCTCATGAAATCTAATTAGTAACTTCATCTTCCCCCTCTATAAGTTCGTCATGACAATGGAGCAACAGAGAAAGTGTATAAGCTGATAACCGAACCAAAGAACCAGATGGAGGCTGTGAAAGACTGCAACCATCAACAAAGAGAACTGGCGAGTATCTGTAACCAGAAAGAGCAAGATGCCTTTGATGAGGTGGCTACAGGGGACACCTGGATCGGACTAAAGCATGAGAACAACATATGGAATTGGTCCAGTGGTGAACCATTTCAGGAATGGGACAATTCCATGGGAGGTGGAAACTGTGTAAAGCTGAACTCAGAAATTGACAGAAAATGGACACCAGAAAATGGTTCTACTCAAAGTCCTTTCCCGTGCTATGGGGGTAAGTTGAACCCTGTGAGAATGTTATCATACTAGTATTGACAGTCAGTCATCATCTATGACTAAGTTGTATAGAATCTACACAAAGAAACTCTAAGTTTTAATACAATGAAATATTTTAAATGGAGTTCCTAACATGATAGGAAACAGGCACTTACATGTGTGTATTCTACTTCATTCTGACACAGATGAACGTCCTCTTAACACCACTGGGGATTTGTCCACTCCTGCTACCCCTGAAACCACCAGCCCTACTTCAACTGGACCTCCCTCTAGCAAGACGTCCACCACACCACCTACCACTACTATTGGACAGTCCACCACCTCCCCACCTACCACTACTAATAGACAGTCCACCACCTCACCACCTACCACTACTAATAGACAGTCCACCACACTACCAGCATCAACTTCCAGTGGACAACTGACCTCATCAGGTCCCACCTCCCCAGACAGGAAGCCCACATCTTCCCCCAGTAGTACAACTTCTCCACTCCATCCTGGTGAGTGTCAGACATGGAGCTACATTCTGTACCAATCTGCACAAAGGTGTACAAGTAACAGTTGTTGGACATTTAATGGCAGATAAGACCGTAAGTGTATGTGTATTTGTGGTATTGTGTTTATGAACTTGCATTTACATGTGTGCAATTTCATGTTTGTGTTTTGTCCCAACCAGACCGTGCAGGCTGACGTGACCCAGCTCCTGGCCAACGTGGAGCTGCCATGTGGGGGAGTGTGGATTGGACTGGAGCGGTCCATCTTTGAGTGGAGCGCCCCCTGGCTGTGGACCAGTAGTGATGTTGAGAAGGTGGTGAAGTACAGAGAGTGGCACAGCTGCTTCCCCCTCAACCCCATCAATTACCACTGTGGTAAGATGGTCCGGGTTGGTAATGGAGAACTGAAGTGGCTGGATGCTTCCTGTCATCAGGAATTACCCTTCATCTGTGAAGGTGCGTTGCTCAACTTTTGAGCTCCTATTTTAGGTTTTGTTAATAAGTGGGCTGAAACATTCAGAATGTTGCAGATAGACAAATATTACATAGAACTGTTATGGTTTACTGCGGAATAGAGATTGACTGTCTTGACTCTCATGTCAGCTCTATGCAATGTATTACTTTATGCAATGCTCTGATTATACCTCCCTATTGAATAAGGCTCAACCCACATCCCAGACATCCACCCCTCTACAGTTGGCTACTATCTGCACTGCTCTTTACTCCCTTTAACTCCCTCCCTTTTACATAGTCTAGACTCACTCTACTAGTAATAGTCTTTTGAATCAGCCCAAACATAATGGCAAGGCCTGGTCATATAAGATAGATCCATGTGCTCTTATCCTGTGTATGATGTTTCAACAGATCTCCACTAGAAGGCTCTCCATGGCAGCCTGGACAGTCTGCAGACAGACACCACCCTGATCTGTCAGAGAGACTATCACTCATGTTCTGGAAGGAATCTGCATTTCAATTCATTATATTATTACACCACTATTACTATTATTAATATTATTACTACTTTAACTTATTATTATCATCTCTATTACATGATATTACTTAATGATACTGTACTTACACATACTGACTCATAAACATTGTAATTTGACCTATAATTTACTGTAATACTTTGATTATTTAAAAATAGAGTAAAGAAAGGTAAAGTAAACGTTATTAACTGAACATGTAGTATGTAACTCCTGTGTGATCTGTACTGTTTGAGAACACTATTTAGTTAGAATGTAATTATTGTTATTTTGTATTTCCCTTCATCTTTGTTCTGAGTAAACATCCATTTAGTGTTTGATCAGTGTGGAATTTCATTCTTCATAGAAAGTGCATTGAGTGATGAATCAAAAGCAATTAAAATGTTCATAATTTAACCCTAAGATTTGAGAGGTATTTAGTGATGTCTAGTCTAAAGCGACTTTATGAATATTTTCAGCAGGAAAAGGAGTCCATCTCAACTGTCAGCAACAATGAACCTGGTATCTCAGAAAACAACTTTTGGCCTAATACAGCAATTAGATTTTCAGGGGGGCGAGATGTCTGTGACATCTGTAATGTTGACACATAATGGGCTATATTTATGCAAAACTGCTCTCCAAACCATAAACTCAAATCCATTTTTCCCAGGTGCAGCCCCTCACCTCTTCTTTAGCCAGCAGTCCTTGGATGAGTCCTTCACCAACACCTGAGCAGTAGACCCATGTGAGTATTTATGCTTATATACCAGTGGCGGTTGGTGCCGGTTATGATGAGGGAGGACAATTCTTTTTTTTTGGAGCATGGCCTTATTCATATTCCATTAACCCAGTTCAATGTAACATCAATTGGTTAAGGCTACTACATGACACTCAACTTTTACCTATACCCATCATGAGGTTGCTACAACCTAGCCTATGAATGAAAATTTATGACGTAGGTGCACACAGGTCGAGAGAAAAATTTGAGATGACAGACAGTGACTCATGGACAGACAGTGACACTTTCAATACCGCCTTGCACACTCTTGCCTGCATCTAGCTTATCTAGGGTGTAATCATTAGTCCAACAGTTGTAAACGAAAGTTTCTATTGGACAAATTCAGGTATTTTTATCCCCGTTTCATTTGCTTCCATTTAAAAAACATTTTTCAACAGAATCGGCGGACTGAATACACCCCTGATCAAGCATAAACACAGTTCACTTTCATAGAAGCCACGTTGTATTCATTCTAGCCTCTATGCACTCTCCTCCTCTCACCTTTTCCCTTCGTTTGTGGACTTCAATGAACAAAACATCAGCTGTATGTGACCAGGCAAAAAAAACTTTCCAAGCCAGACCATGTCATAACCGCTACACACAGCCTATGTCATTGTCCCCATATTAGCTAAAGTTACGTCCTAGTCAACATAGCTAATAGAACTAATGCGTTAGTAAACCCGCTACAATCATGCAGTAACATTACAGTGTATAGTCACTAAGCAGTTACACCGGCGGGCCCCGGTGGCAATAAATTAATAAAACCAAAAGCTTATCTTGACTTGGAAGAGTTCCAGTGTTGTGTTGAATAGTCATAGCCAGCTAGCTAACATAGCATCCCTCTGTTTGAGCATAGTGTTTGAGTAATTAAACTAGCCAGCTGCATTTGCTAGCTAAGTAAGTGAAACTGAAAGTGACATAAAAAAAGAAAAAATCTCTCTCTCTCTCGCTCTCTCTCTCTCTTGCTTCTCCTTCATTTTTGAAGAAATTAATTTGTTGAAAACTGTTCAACTATTGTCTTTCTCTCTCTTTGAGTCAACTACTCACCACATTTTATGCACTGCAGTGCTAGCTAGCTGTAGCTTATGCTTTCAGTACTAGATTCATTCTCTGATACTTTGATTTTGTGGAAAACATGTCAGCTCATACTGCAAGAGTTCTACAAGGTTGGAGGACGTCCTCCCGAAGTTGTCATAATTATTGTGTGAGTCTATGGAAGGTGGTGAGAACCAACAGCCTCCAAGGTTTTGTATTGAAGTCAATGTACCAAGAGGAGGACAGAAGCTAGCTGTCCTCCGGCTACACCATTGTGCTACCCTACAGAGTGCTGTTGAGGCTACTGTAGGTCTTCATTGCAAAACAGTGTGTTTTAATTAATTATTTGGTGACGTGAATATATTTAGTATAGTTTTATCTAAAAAGGAATTTTTTTAAAATGTTTTACCATTTAAAAAAAAAATGAAATTCACTGAGGAGGTTGGTCCTCCCCTTCCTCCTCTGAGGAGCCCACTGTTATATACTATATCCTTAATGCTTTAGTGTAAATCAATCTAATATTGTAATATTGAGCACACACAATCAGCCTCAACTGGATTGTAGTAACTGTTGCTCTCTGACCCTTAAGGGCCATTGACAGACTGAACACACCTCTCTGGACAATAGAGACTGCTCTCTGAAGAGATTGTTCCTTTGCACTGGAAGTAAGACTATCATCTTATTTTATTTTACGTATATATTTTTTATAAACAGATAGAAAGAGAGGATGACAGCAGGGAAAGATACACAGAGGTTTCATCAAAGGGCATTAGGCCAGATTCAAACCTACGCTGACACCATAGACATGTGTTCCAGAGGCTGTGGCATTACCGCTAGACCAGCCAGGCCACAAGACTACCATCTTATTGGCGTTATTGGGGTTTATATCTGTAAGACAGGTGCAAGGGGTGGCATTTTAGCCCCAATAGGGTCCCACTTTAACAAGCAGTGTCAGATGCCGGACACAGCAATGCTTCATGTTGTCTACACTACTGTCAGATGCCATCTCTCTCTCCCCACTCTTTTCCAGGGATTCATGCAAATATATGTTCTCATGTGGTTTCTAATATCGGATAATATTTCCATAATGTTGAACATAGAATACAGAGGCTAGCTACTGCACACTTCCAAAGTAATCTATAGCCTTTAAATGGAAGTGGAAGAAAAGTTATATTTATTGTAAATAAGCTGAATCTCATTTGAGTGGCTGCTACCATTCATATGTCCCTCTAGAAAAGAGAAGCAAGCAGACCATTGTCAGGATGTCTCTGAAATCTAACTCAGGAGCTGACCTCAATGGCCCAGTGGTTAAGGAACAGATGTTGGAGCAGGTACAGTAGTCCTACATCTCCCACATCAGAAATCAAGGTCATGCTCAATCATTTCTCACTTTTCATATGATCTCCATTTTATATTCCTATAGATCATATTAATAAACTCAAATGCTCGATTAAAATAGGAGGGCTGCTGACTTTAATCAATTTGATCATATCTCATAGATCAGAAAGGAGTTTGCGAAGAACGGGAACTTCATCCTAGGCATACGCTGGAGAGAACTGCCGAATGGAGACGTTTTTCGCAAAACAGTTGAACTTGGAAGCCCTGAAGAATGTATACACTTTTTTGTGCCACAGTTACGAAATGTTTAGTCTGTTGTTCAGAGTCCCCTGTACAGTGTGTTGTTAGGTTTTGCATCCCATTGACAGTATGGAAATGAAGTAAGGTGTTCATGAACTAATTCCAGTGAGAGTCTTTGTACTGTTGTGTTTGGTTTCTAAGGTCATTGAAGGTCTGGATGAAGAGGACCAGCCATGATGATGCAGCTGGAGAGGGATGGGAGGTCCAAGAAAACTGAAATATTCCATTATAAATAATATATTAAATACGTTTATAAAATATTTGTTTGTTTACATTATTCAAGTTATGAAAGTTAGCTTTCGCTTATGAAAGAAAAATAGGAAGTATATTTATATTAGGCTAGATTTAGACTAGTTTACAATGTTTTACTAATGTAATATCAAATGATAATCTTAATTTGTTGTTGGTTATTTAATGTATTGTGAAAATAAAACTTGTTGTACATAAGGGCAATTTGATGAGTGAAGAGAAGAGGATTTTCAAGTTTGTAGTTAAAACTTTTATGGTGACAACTTTCAGTGAGAGATTGTCAGAGGGTCACATTTTTCATAATGAGACAAATTATGTTATTTTTATGGATGTAACTGTCGACATTCTTAATAAATATATGTTTGATTAGTGACAACATTATTACCATTTTCACCCTCCAGCATGAATGGTGAGATGGGGGCACAAATCACAACAATTTAGAACTATGTACCCATGTCATGGTGCTATGGCTCAGAGTACTGTAAAGATGGAGACAGACAGACATTTGTGGGTGTGACAGAATGACAGTATCCATGTTATGAATCTAAGCAACATTTGGATATCATTAGAAATATCCCTGGTGTCATGGTTTGTTGACCGTGGCAGCTATTACAGTCATAAACACAGGCTCATGGATAGCAGGGGAGGGGTGTGGGGTTCTTGCCTGTATTCCTGTAGTTGATGGCTGTTATACATTAAACACCTTGATAAATCAACCACCATTAATCATTTAGCAAAGGTTCAAAGTATTTGACACCCTACATTTTATTTACTATGTAGTTATTTAGCAAATGCATTTATCTAAATAGACGTAGTAAAATCACACCCTAACCACTGGTAGCACTGGGCTCCTCAACACGGGGGCCACTCAGGGGTGCGTGCTCAGTCCCCCCCCCCCCCCCCGTACTCCCTGTTCACCCATGACTGCACGGCCAGGCACGACTCCAACACCATCATTAAGTTTGCCGACGACACAACAGTGGTAGGCCTGATCACCGACAACGATGAGACAGCCTATGGGGAGGAGGTCAGAGACCTGGCCTGCACCATCAAGAGCATCCTGACTGGTTGCATCAGCGCCTGGTATGGCAACTACTCAGCCTCTGACCGCAAGCACTACAGAGGGTAGTGCGTACGGCCCAGTACATCAATGGCGGTGTCAGAGGAAGGCCCTAAAAATTGTCAAAGACTCCAGCCACCCTAGTCATAGACTGTTCTCTCTGCTAACGCACGGCAAGCGGTACCGGAGCGCCAAGTCTAGGTCCAAAAGGCTTCTTAACACCTTCTACCCCCAAGCCATAAGATTCCTGAACAGCTAATCAAATGCCTACCCGGGCTATTTGCATTGTTCCCCCTGGAATGCATTTCAATTAACAGGTGTGCCTTCTTAAAAGTAAATTTGTGGAATTTCTTTCCTTCTTAATGCGTTTGAGCCAATCAGTTGTGTTATGACAAGGTAGGGGTGGTATACAGAAGATAGCCCTATTTGGTAAAAGACCACGTCCATATTATGGCAAGAACAGCTCAAATAAGCAAAGAGAAACATCATAATTTTAAGACATGAAGGTCAGTCATGTAATGAATACTCGGACAGAGTGGTAAGATCCAATCGCAGAATAGCGATGGTTTATTAGAGTACAGACAAGGGAATAGCTTAATCGTGGTCGGGCGGGCTGTGGTCAAAACCGGGCCAGGCAGAGACAGGCAGAGGTACCAAGGGAGCGGGCTTAGTCGTAGTCGAGGTCACAGGCACAGGATCAGAGAACGGTAATCACTGGGGTAGACAAGTAGAGGATTAAGCAATTCGGGGAGTCAAACAACAAGGCACAGGTCGGATACACGGGTAATCAAAAACAACAAACTCTCTCTCTCGGAACAAAACGCTTAGCAAGTCACAATGGAACAATACCTCGCACCGACTGAACTTCTGAGCACACCTTATATCCTACCCTAATTACGGACTGGTGTGCTCAGAACTCAGGTGAACCAGATCGAGTCTGATGACTCCCCCTCTCTGTAGATCGGGGAAGTGTCAGACTCTGTCTAGACCCAGCCAACCCCCGATCCCTTACAGTATCCCCCTCCCCAGGGCCGGCTCCTGACGGCCTTCTACCTCTACCGGGTGGTCTTCCTCTGGGTCGGGGTCCGGGATGATCTGGGTGTTCAGCGTGGAAAGTGGCCTTGAGAGCGGGGTCTAGTATGTCCTTAGCAGGGACCCAGGACCGTTCCTCCCGTCCATATCCCTCCCAGTCCACGAGATATTCGATGCCCCCTCGTCTCCGTCTTGACTCCAGTATCTCGTGGACTGTATAGGTGGTGTCCTGTTCATCCTCCAAAGGTGGTGTAGTAGGTTGTTGAGCGATTGGTGGGTACATCGGGCTATAATGGACAGGTTTCAACAGGGAGACGTGGAACGTAGGGTTTATCCTGTAGTGTCGAGGGAGTAACAGACGGTAGGTGACAGGGTTAATACGTCTCTGTACCTTGAAGGGACCAATGTACCTGGGTTGGAGCTTCTTGCAGCTCCGTCGGAACCGCAGGTCTCGGGTAGACAGCCACACTCGCTGCCCGGGTTGATGAGTGGGAGTAGGTCTCCGGCGTCGGTCGGCGTAGGTCTTTTGCTGTTGTGAGGCTTGACTGAGATGTTGATGGGCCGTCTCCTAGACCTGCGCACTCCGACGGAACCACTCGTCCACCGCCGGTACCATCCCGGGTGCGGTATCCCATGGGAACAGGGGTGGTTGATACCCTAGAACACACTGAAAGGGCGTTAGACGTAGGGAGGTGTGAATGAGTGAGTTCTGAGCATACTCTACCCAAGGAAGGAATCGGCTCCACTCTTGCGTCTGCCGCGAACATTGTTGCCGTAGATACTTCCCAATTTCCTGGTTGAGCCGTTCTGTCTGCCCATTGGCCTGGGGATGATATCCGGAGGTGAGGCTCACCGAGATGCCCAAGCGTTCGCAGAAGGCCTTCCAAACCCGGGATACGAACTGGGGTCCCCGGTCGGAAACAATATCCTCCGGAACACCAAACTGCCGGAACACCTGGTTAAACATAGTCTCCGCCATCTGAGTGGCGTTAGGTAAACGGGTCATGGGTACTAACCGACACATCTTGGAGAATCGATCGATGACCACGAGAATTACAGTATCGCCCTCTGATTCTGGTAGGTCGGTAACAAAGTCCATAGCAATGTGCGACCAGGGTCGTTGAGGAGTTGGCAATGGCATGACACAATATTCATAATGTCCTCGATGGGTGATGAAGGCGGTCTTCCATTCATCCCCTTCTCTAATGCGCACCAGATTGTACGCACTCCTGAGGTCCAGTTTACTGTAGATGGAGGCCTGCCCCACCTGCTCGAGGGCTGCTGGAATCAAAGGAAGGGGGTAACGATTTTTAATGGTAATATCGTTCAAACCTCGATAGTCTATACAAGGACGCAGTCCGCCATCCTTTTTCTTAACAAAGAAAAAACTGGATGCGGCGGGAGACGTAGATGGGCGAATGGCCCCTTGCTGTAGTGCCTCATCAATATACTTGCTCATTGATTCTCGTTCCGGCTGTGACAAAGGGTAGATTCGTCCGCGAGGAGGTATAGCCCCGGATAGCAGATCAATTGCACAATCCCAGGCCCGATGCGGTGGTAACACGATAGCCCTCTCCTTGGAGAACACCTGCGCGTAATCCTGGTACTCTGTAGGAACAACAGTAGACACCGCACCCTTCGCATCCTCCACAGTAGACGTTTTTCAAGGTAAAATGAGGCACTCTGCCCTACATACCTCACTCCAAGCCGTGATCTCGGCAGATTTCCAGGAGATGACCGGATCATGGATAACGAGCCAGGGGTGGCCAAGGACTAGCGGCTCCCGTGGAGCGGAGATGACGAACAGAATGATGTTCTCATGGTGCAGGGAGCCCACTTGTAACTTGATTTCCTCGGTACGGTGCGTAATGAACCCAGTGCCCATGGGCTCACCGTCTAGCGCGTTGACTCGCAGGGGGGGTTGAATTGGGATAAGTTGAACTCCCAACTCCTCAGCAAGACCCATATCCAGAAAGCTGGCAGCCGCTCCGGAATCAATAAGTCCTTCCAACCTGCGCACTTTCTCTCCGACAGATAAGGTAACTGGCACATACATTTGTTTAGATGTAATGTTCAAAACTGGAGTCTCACTCACCGGTTTGGCAGTTCCGATGCGATATCCTGAGGTACGGTTTGGTCGTACCGGACATTGACGAACGAAATGACCCGACTGACCACAATACAGGCATAGTCCGTCTTGCCGACGTTGTTGTCTCACCGAACCTTGTAGAGGTGACCGTCCCAGTTGCATAGGTTCCTCCTCAGATTCTCTCCTCCGCTCTGTCGATTGCTTAGGACCAGTGATCGAGGGCTCCCGGACTGTGGATACCTTGACTGTGGATATCAGATTATCAATAGAGATGGCTATTTTGATAAACTCATGTAGTGCAGTGATATCTCCTCGACAAGCCAACTCAGTCTGTACGTCTTTGCGCAGCCCTCTTCGGAAAACAGTGAGCAAGGCCGTCTCGCTCCATCCGCTACCGGCTGCTATAGTACGGAACTCTAAAGCGTAGTCGGCTACGGTGCGACGGCCCTGCTGAAGTTCGCATAGTTGGTCTCCCACACTACGCCCAGATACTGGGTGGTCGAACACCTCCTGGAACAGTCTCTTGAACTGAACTTCCGCAT